GCACACATCATAGGAGGTCAGGGTTCTTGGACACTGAAGTCTTCAGGAAACCTACACGGAGACCATGTACTTGAAGGTCAATCCTCACAAATTTAAAGGTTCTTAACATGAGTCTTCCTACCCACCTGGTAGATAGCCTTCGAATGTCTTTTCATTTTCCAAGGGAATCCCATCACTTACTTTATCTTGCCCTACTCCTTCTTATAGCTCCTTGTATGAGGCCAATTACCCTGCTCTTTTCTCCCAGCTCTCCGTACATGGGAACACTACTTCTCATCTTGGTTGGGGAGAATCGTGGCCATTAAAATAACGTACTTGCCCAAGTTACTATACCTTTTCCGAATACTCCTTGTTCCAATTCCACATTATAGATTCAAAAATCTGTCAGGTTTCTTAGGAACCCCTCATTCCCTCCTGGCTGTGATTCATCATCTGCATTTCGCTATTGGATAGTTGGAGATGTGACATGTTTGTTTAAACAGTATACGGCTGATGGTGCAAAATTACAGGACTCTCATAAATTGCCAGCCGCAGAGCTATTTAGTTACCTCCAGGTCAGGCACTTTCTCTCTTCCCAATTTCCCAGCTTCCCTACAGGCCCAACATTCACCCCTTTTGAGAGGGTGTGTAAAGATTATCACTACACATCGGGTTTGATATCACTGCTATATAGTCATCTGTAGTGATGGGCTCGGGCGTGTTCGCAGCTCCACGTGCCCAGCCCACCAGGAAGCTGACAGCGCCGCACCGCCAATCACAGGCACTGAGACATATCCCGATCTCTGCAGCTGCGGAATGGGATAATGTCTCAGTACATGTGATTGGCGCTGCCAGCTTCCTGGCGGGCTCGGCACGTGGAGCTGCGAACACGCCCGGGCTCATCACTAGTCATCTGTATCTGGTGCCCAGCCGACTTCGGGCTTTTATTCCGGGTAATGCCGGCTTGTGCTTCGAGATTGTGGAGAAATAGGCTCCTTTATGCACGTATGGTGGCAGTGACCGAAGGCCATCTTTTTGGACGTAAGTTTTTGAGTTATTTTTTTCCAGTTTACTAGATCCAATGCCAACAATAGACCCAAAAGTGGTTTTGCTTAACATCCCCCTGCTGGACAAAACATAAATTCCTATTGCATGATCTCACTGCTGCCAAGCAGACGGTGGCAAAGTTGCGGTCGTCTCCATTGCTTCTCTTTGAGCAAGTAAAGCGTCGATTTCATTGGACCTTTGTCAACGAAATACTCTCGGCGCGTCTGGCAGATAAGGTCCCACGCTTTGAACAAATTTGGGATCCATGATTTGCATACTCATGCTTTTGACAGATGCCTACTTGTACTCTAACTGCATGTATTTGTTATCATGCTCTGCAGAACTTCTGTTTTGCAGCAGACTGCCTTGTCTCAGGAATGGATACACTGTGTCCATGTATTAGTTTCTATAGGCTTGTGACCTGAGCCAGCACTACAGGAAGAGGCCCTGAGCTGAAAAGGGAAGTTCTCCCCAAGCATGAGAAGACATGAGGATTTAAAAGGAAGAGCAGCAAAGAGAAGGGAAACAACCATGGATTACAGTAAGGCACACATTACAGTATTGGTTTATGTTAAAAAAATCTGAGGGTTACTTAGAGAAGATCAATCTCAAAATTCTATACATTCAATTAGAGATATAAAGGGGACAGAACAGTTTTGCCCGGACAAGGTAGCATCGATTTTTCAGGCCTATTATACCCAACTCTATAATACAAAAGACCCTGCATTTAACTTAGATGACCCAGCTTTAAAAAAAATCCACTATGGACTACCTTTCAGAACAACCTCTCCCTCATATCTCACAAAAAGAACTCCAAATTCTTAACCAGCCCATAACATTTGAAGAGTTGAACTCAGTAATTAAAGATCTGCCTAACGGAAAGGCCCCAGGCCCAGATGGTTTCTCTAACATGTATTATAAGACCTTTAGCTCCATTCTCATTCCACACTTACTAACACTATACAATTATTTTTTTGAAAAACCGCCCATGCCCACCTCTATGCTTGCATCCTACATTACAGTAATCCCTAAACCTGAAAAAGACCATTTGGAAGGTGCCAATTACCGACCGATTGCTCTCCTAAACTCAGATTTAAAAATTTTCTCCAAATTGCTAGCATCACGACTAAGCCCCCTCATTCCTTCACTGATACATAGAGATCAAGTTGGATTTGTCACAGGCAGACAATCTGGAGACAATACAAGACGTACGATAGATCTTATTGAAATTCTGAACTCTACAGATACGGAATATGTGATACTCACCCTCGATGCTGAGAAGGCATTTGATCGTCTTAGTTGGCCATTCCTATTCACTTTAGAACACATTGGGATACAAGGACCTTTTTTGGATGCCATCACTAACCTATACTGTACCCCTTCCACAGCAATCAAACTCCCCTTAGCATTATCTGCTTGCTTCCCTATACGCAATGGTACCTGACAGGGATGTCCTCTATCCCCTTTGCGATTTACTCTTTGTATAGAATCCTTAGCTAACCATATTAGGAATTCCCCAGACATCTCAGGTGTACAAGTTAGAGAACAGGCCTTTAAACTTTCACTTTTCGCAGATGACATTTTATTGACATTGACTAAACCCCTTATTTCCCTACCAATTTTACATAGGGAACTAGCTAAATATTCATCTATATCGGGGTACAAACTCAACCTGACTAAATCCGAGGCAATGGCAATCCATATCCCACAGGATACACTGTCTTCCCTTCAGTATTCCTTCGAGTATAACTGGAAATTGGATACATTGAAATACCTAGGTATCTATCTTACCCCCCAGGTGACCTCTTAATATACGACTAATTTTACCCCATTATACTGGGAAATTAGAGAGCTCCTTCGGAGATGGAGAGCATATCGCCTATCCTGGACAGGTAAAATGACATTAAAATGATGACATTGCCAAAACTGCTCTATCACTTTGGGACACTACCTATTAAAATACCTATACAGGACCTTAAAATCTTACAACGCTCACTCCTCCAATTTACATGGGACAATGCGGCCCATAGAGTTGCCAGGACAGTGATATCATCCAGATCACAGGGCGGACTGGCTTTCCCAGATGTATTAAAATACTATACAGCAGCCCACCTGCGCCACATAGCATCCTGGTCTTCTTTACACCCCCCCCCCCCCAATAGATGGGCAGAAATAGAAAACCTCTGGATCTCTCCACTACATTTAAACTGTCTCCTATGGCCTAATCTACAGGCTACATATGTCCCTTCGCTTTTATCTACAATGCAACATACGAAAGATATATGGCACTCAGTAGAGATTAAATTTAATCTTACCTCTATTACTACTTCAATGAGATCATTTTTATACACACCCCTTCTTCCTGCTACACTAAACTGTTATACTGGTTAGATCAATCCCTTTTCCGCTTCAACTATATAATCCACAAAGTAGATAGGACTTTATTGCCCTTTCCGAACCCACAAGCTGATTTTGACTTACCAACTAGATCCCTCTTTACATTTCTTCAGATTAAGCATTTTGCATACAGAATCTCCCCGTCACTTACTTTCTCACCTCTAACACCAATCGAAAAAAAATGTGTCTAGAAGGACCTACTCGCAAACACCTGATAGCAGATATTTACAAATTACTTAACTGGATTTGTGTTATACCTTTTACGAAACACAATTATATGTGTAGATGGGAGAGAGCTTTAGGCAGAACATTGGATAAGGAGGAATGGGAGAAAATTTGGATTAACGCTAGGAAGACTTCTATCTGTACTTTATATCAGGAAAATCAGTACAAAATTCTCTACCATTGGTATCACACCCCAGATCTGCTGAATCGCATGAATCCTTCGCTACCATCAGTATGTTGGAGATGCTTGACCTCAAAGGGCAGTATACTCCATATATTCTGGGAATGTCCTAAGATAAGGCCCTTTTGGAATTATATAACGACGCTGCTCCAAAAAAATAGTTGATCGGACTATACCAGATGACCCTGTACACTTGCTTTTAGGCCTTCCCATACCACACTTCCCGAAAACCATTACTAAACTTGTCAACCATGTCCTCACTGCAGCAAGATGCCTTATAGCTTTAAAATGGCGACAAATTATCCCTCCGTCCCATGTAGAATTGGTGCGAAGGATCCATGAAATTCACAATATGGAATACCTAACGGCCCGAATGCATAATAATATCCATGAATTCAAACAGGTGTGGTCCCCCTGGCAATCACTTGAAAAAAACCAATGGGAACATCCTGCTCTTAGACGAATTACCATCTCCCGTGAATCAGCGATAAGATGCGTTTTTTTTCCCTCGTATCTTCCCCCCCCCTTTTTTTTTTCCCCTTTCCATTCCTTTTCTATTATATTATTGTCAAATTATTGTATTAACTAGTTAGGTATAGGTTTTATGATGATTTAATTGCTTTTCAACTATTGTTACAGTTGACTTATACTTTCGTATACACACTAAAACTTGAAAAAAAACTTAAATCACCAAAAATCTGAGGGTTTAATGTCACTTTAAACAAGGATACCATTATAAAATTACATTTAGGAAGATGGTATCTACATTATGTTTGTATATTCTCTATATGCTTGTGCGGTTTGCTCCGAATACTCTGTTTTTCCCCACAAAAGAAAAAACATTACGTTAACTGGCTTCCTCCCAATCTGGCCTTAGTTGGTGTTTTTGTGACCGTGGTAGTGACATTTTGCGGCTGGCTTCTTCAGGTATATGTATACTTTAAAGCATGCCATATTATGTTGACGCCATATGCATCAAATGCAAGAAAAAAATGTAATACAATTCTTTGCAGTTAAGATAAAATGTAATACAATTCTTTGCAGTTAAGATATACAATGCTTTGCCAAAAGTTGGAATCAAAACCAATTATGTTTCATCAGTGTAAAAACATTAATGCTTTGATCAATACCTGTAAAGTCTTACAGGAGTTACTGAATCTCTAACGCTTACCTCCAAGTCATACAGGTATCTAAAGTCTACATGTTGTTTTGCAGCTTCATTTACAGCTTCAGCCAGTTCTAGGGCTCCTTTTCCACCAAATGACCAATGATTACATGGAACTGCATCAAAAGCACCAGATTCTTTAGCAATTTTACACACCAGGTCAATTTCTGCCGGACTGTCGGTTCTGTAAAACAACACATTAACAGTCTAAGTTTTTAATGTCCATATGAATAAACTTAACCTTGACTTTCACAAGTAAACATTCTGCCCAAGAGCAGACATAAAACAAAATGCCAGTTATCTTTATTAGCCTTTTTCGGTGCCCCTCTGACTTAGTTTAATTGCGATACTGATATCTGGCCTTTTTTTGACTGGATGGTTAAGCTCCATCTACTGTCAACCCCCTGTCCACTGATGGCGCCTTTACAGGCCACTAAGGTGACCTCATTGGACATTAGAGTGAAAGTCAAGTCAGAGAAAGCCAGGCCACGGTAACAGTGAAATGAAATCAGAGAGGGGCACAGAGGTTGCTTTTCTGGGTTATAACAGCAGGCATCTTGCCGTGGCAGCACTTTTGTTTCAAAACTTTAAAAGGGAACACAGGCTCGGGCTCACATTGAGCTAATTACTACATTTAAATACAAGTCATGCAAATAAACACGGAAAACATAACGCCAGTGTAAACCTTAACAGTCACAGATCGATTTGTCAAAGTATTGTAAAAGAGCCAAATGCTGATTCACTAATGTTTTCTATAGGCAGCTTGCCTTTTTACTCATACAACCCAGCAGTAGAGCTACTACAGTACGCAGGACTGTGGGGAACATCAACATTGCCCGACAACAGTCTCATCATGGTGTGCTACAATCAAAAGTATGTAAACCAATTATTATGATGCTGACTTTTTTTCTATCAGCCAAAATAAGGGTTCCAAGTGTAAATATATATATATATATATTAGTGTGAAATGCTACTGGTCCTAAACAGCTTTTGTAGGATGCAGAACACCTTTCCCCATAATTAAAGGTAAATGCAAAAGCAGCTTGACGCAGCTTCAAAGAAGGCCAAATGTACCTATTGATGAACTCTGACCGATCTCAGATGCAAGTGGAATGCTGCTAAAAGCAAGCTGCATTTGCCAATCAACATTAGCCCTATACCTGTTACAAAACTAGAGAGGATTCAAAGGGAGCATATCAAAAAAGAATGCAAAACGCAGGTTACCTTTATTGAAAACTCCATGTCAAAAACAATAGAAATTATTAAAGCAGCCTAGGCCAACAATGCTGCTCCTCCATAAATACAGTGCAGTAAGTACTGTAACTCTAGAAGTGTGCTACTTATCAACAACAGGTGAAAACCAAGGAAAAAAGCATGAAAAGAATTAAAATAAAGGCAGTCTTCATATCGAAGGACTAGGAATAAGGTTCAGGTATGCCACTACCATGGGTGCTCCGCCCCCCTCCCAATATACTTGAATTTGCCACAATTCTTTCAAAGGACACACAAGCTGTAATATATTATGTTTTTGTGTTTGCCATGTAGATACACACCCAGGTTTCTTTAAATGAATAATGACTCTTTGGACCGTGAAAATTGTCACATTACAAACAAAATTAGGACTGATGAAAAAAAATAAAATAAGGCATGGCCACAGTAAAATGTTTGCATGTGCATCAAAGTTATTGTCAGAAGGAGGCTGAACTAGATATTTAGTTATTTAGTTGGGAGTTAGGTTTATGCTACACCCTCAATCTTTACGACATAAGTGCTTAAATGGAGCTTCGTAGTTACAAAGTGTCCTTGATTTCTTAGAAAACAGCCAAATTCTAGAGATTTTCTCTGTTAATGTCCTTGGATTTTAGACATGAAGCCAATTACACGTTTTATTTAAAGGTCTGCTTTTTAGCTTAGACGCAAGTGTAATTTTAACATAATGAAAAAAACAAAAACCTTTTGAAACTGGAAAATTAACTAATTGCAGTCATATTACAGAACTATGCATAACAAGGTGATGTACAGCAACTAGAAATTATTCAACATTGGTATCAAACATGTGGTTCTTAGAGGCTGCAATTTTTGAAAATGCTAGTTGCTGTTCTATTTTGCAGACCTAATGATTTCACTACTATACAGACCTGAAACAAGTATACACAAAAAGAGCAAAGTCCCCTATCTGCTTGTCAGGGATCAGTGACTCAAATTAATAAAGCCATTAAAAAACCATGACAGCCAGGAAACTGGTAATTGCAAAAATCAGTAACGACCGCTTCCATGTTTACGACAGGAAATGTGTTCTTTAATTTTAACCAAATTTGCTGAAGAACTTACTTGAAAATATTTAGGGCAACCACAACTGGAATGCCAAACTGCTGAGCAATCTGGATCTGCTTCTGTAAGTTACAACAGCCATTCTGAACCAGTTGGAGATTCTGTAAGACAGTTGAAAAAAAAATGTTTTTATGTCTGTTGAATTACTTCTACACGAATTGATTCCCTGCCTTTTCCCATTCGAGGCAATGCTGTTTTTCCATGCAGTATGTGAATAATTAATAACTGGTGTTCTGTGTTGTTAGTACTGGAACATATGGCTAGGCTAATGCTTTCAAGCATGCTTTAAAAGACCTGCTATCAATGTTTTGCCAACCGGAATCACACTATCAACATTGTGCCTGTGAATGTTACAAGCAGCTATACCAAGCCAAGCAGGCTAAACTGACTGACTGACTACTCTAAGCCATAGCTCCACCTACAGTGGATTGCCAGTAAAACCAGTTAAAAGCTAACAAAATGTGTTTGCTTCTCCAGATGCATTTAGGGGAATTTATCAAAAACTGGAGCAGACAGAATCTGGAGCAGCTGCCCATGGCAACCAATCCGTTGGTCTTTTTTTTCAAAGTTTAACTTTACAAACTGAAGAGAGAAGCTGGTTGGTTACTATGGGCAACTGCTCCAGATTCTGTCTGCTGCTGTTTTGATAAATTCCCCCAAAATGTTTTTTCCCCAATTAGATTTTTTTATAGATGCTTTACAAGATAAGAAATGTTAAGTGTAACATACTTACATGCCTACTGTCAGACCCAAACAAGTGAAAGAAATGTATATCAAGAAAAATTACATTTCCATAACCTATAAAAGCGTTTCTCTACCTTTTTTTATTATTTAGGACACCCTTACAAAAAAAAAAAAGTATGCAAAATCTCAGGGTGCCCAGTATAAAAATGTAAAAACCTAAATTTAATAAAAACGTGTGGCCCCTTCAAAATTCATAATAGACCCTTATCTGAGATAGGTCTCTGGTATGGATTTTAAGAGAGCGCCCATGAAAATACACAAAAAGATGTTCACATGAGTTCCTTTCCCACCGGAGGCCCCCTTCACATCAGTCCTTGTTCCCAGTGCAAACATTTGAGGTCCCCCAGAGGAAGCCATACGGCACCACAGTGCACTGCAGCACCCTGGTTAAGAAAGGCTGAGCTAAAAACATCATGATATTTATAAGGTGGTAAAACTATAGTACATTTTGCGGTTCTTAAACCATTGCTTTGAGGATGTGGAAGAGAGACGAGAAAATACAGAGAAAAGAGGGAAAGAAGGAGTGGTCATTCTATCCAGTAGTTTCGCTTTCCTTTTCTCACAGACCAATTGAGATCTTCAGAATTTAGCAAAGACTTGTTAGTAGTGGTAAAGATAAATGTTAGGTTTAAACGGGGTCTTGGAGATGGTATCAAGCTTTTGGTTAAGTATTGTCTCCTAACAGTCCAGCGGTAGGATGACACGAAATAATGTCTGTGTGTGACCAATGGACATTGCTTCAAAATGTGCATAAAGATCCCTGGTTCTAGGAATCCGTGGGAGAATACCTAGCAAATGTAGCAATTCTTGCAGGTACCATGTACCATCTTGAGAGGAGTTTGAATTTAGTTTCAAGTGCAATCGCCTTTTAGAAGCAGAATTTTGGTAGCTGATCAAATCTGTGCCCATGCTTCTTTATGCAAGGAGAGCCAAGGTCAGTTTCCAACTTGGCAACCTATCCTGGAGGGATCTTGGAAAATAAGTTTAATAGCAAGGAATAGATCAGAAATGAGTCCAGGGCTGTGAGGGTTATCCCAACAACAATGCTCAAATTGTGTGCAGGTTCCATATGGCAATTGTGGTTTGGAGATGCTTATGATAGAGTCTCTAATCTGGTGTTATTAAAAATGTTCAGAAGCAGAGATTTCAGGTTTTTCCTGAAAATTTTGGAGACGTTTTTATTCCATCAAATTAATAGAATCTATATAAACAGGTGTTATTAGAGCAGATCCAATGCCAGAAGTAGTTTGGAGGGTTAATACCAGGAGCACAGGAAGGATTGCGTAGGATAAACAGGGGTAGGTTCGGTGATATAATTTTTGACTTACCATAAAATCCTTTTCTTGGACTAGATTAAAAGAAATTGAGGTACATAGGGTTATGCTGCTGCCTTAAGGAGACTGGCAAAACAGAGCTGTAAGGAGAGCCTTCCACACCCATTGTGCCCAAGTTTTGTAGCAAAGTAATAAAAAAAGAAAAAAGATGGATGGTAAATGGAGAGAGGATCCAGATGAACTAGGAGAACTTGCGGAGATTACTGCCAGGAGTCTGAGCAGGTCCGAGAAACATGTCCATATGCACCAGTTTGGTGCAATAAGAATCACTGTAAGATGCCTTGCATCTTGATCCTGCGTAGCAAGTAAAATTAGTTTTAGGAGGAGGAATGTCACTGATCTGGTTCAAATGATCCCACAGAGTAACCAGAGCATCCACTACGAAGGCTAGAGCACAAACTTGCTCAGTTTATTTTTAAGTCGAGAAAATATATATCAAAGCGCTAAAGGTGTAACTAATAAAAGACTTAATGTAACCAAGTGATAAAGTGAAATTTTAGGTTTAGGCGGTCTAGCTCTAAAACAAGTGATGTGTCTTACATGGAATCATAAAAAAATTATATAAAATAAAAATAAAAATAATAGTAAGTTTATTTTTAAGCCAGGAGATCCATGTCCACCATCCCCCACCTACAACAGATATTTTGAAACAACTCTGGGTAAAGAGACCATTCTTCAAGACAGTGGCAAGTGAGAAAGTCCATCTGTCAACGCCTCCACAGTATACAGAGCTGAAACGTGAAGTTCTGCATAAGCCAGAATATGGTCAGCTTCTCTTGGGTTGCGAGACTTCTAAACCCTTCCTGGTGGTTGATGTAAGCCACTTCCATAGCCACTGAATCCTAGTCAGGTCACCTTCCAGTCAAGCGGTTCATTATTGAAGGGATAACCAAATCTTTGTTCCACAAATATGATTGTTGCAAGAGACTTGGTCGTTGAAGGAAGCTAGTTTTACAAAAATCGGGTAATCCAGGACTTCTCCCCAGCCCAAAAGGCTGGTATCCGACGTAAGAACACTTTAAATTAGCGGGAGGAAGGATTTAACAGACTCCAGGGTAGGATTCAAGAGTGACCAGGCCAGAGGCAAGCCGGGTTTTGGGCATCAGACATATGCAATGGTCCAGAGACTGGGCCTTTTTTCCACAAGCAGCATGAACATTAACCTGCAATGGTGTGAAGTGGAATCGGGCATATGGATCTGCTTCAAAAGATGCTACCATACAGCCTAAAACCCTGTACAGAGCAGTATTTAGGGGAAGGCCTATATTCTCAAAGCAATGAGTTGGTTCCAACAACACTGACTTCTGGAGGTTCAAGATCCACCTGAACCTCTGCAGAGCTTGAATGGTTAAATGAGCATTGACCGTCAGTCATCCAGGTATTGGTGAATAGATGGAGAGGGCCACAATCAGGTAATGTTGTGAGCCATCTGCAAAACACAGGAAGTGTTGACGTGCCTGAAAGATGGGGACATGCATCTCTGATGTCCACAGAGGCCAGAAAGTCCCTCAGATTGAGGGAAGCAATGATCAACATTAAAACTATTTGTAATTTCCAAACCCAAATGAAGGTGTTGAGAAACCTTTAGGTCAAAATTAGGTAAATGCTCTTTTGGTTTGGAAACAAGTTTGAGTAGAAACCCCGGAACCTTTCCTTTTCCAGAACAATGGCTATAATCCCTTGAGAGAGGAGCTGCACCAGAGTAGCATGGAGGTCCTCTAATCCCTTGGTTCTCAACTGGTGGGTCCTGACCCAAAAGTGGGTCGCGACCCTGTTTTCAGTGGGTCCCGGTGTGCCTTCCACTTTTCTAGGTGAGAGGCTCCTCAGCCTCCCCCTAGCGCAGCACTGTCTGTTCTTGCGCCAAGCAGCCATTCAAAATATGCCGCCCGGCGCCGAGTGTCAGCTTGAGGTAGGGTGGGCTTCATCCATATGTGCATTGCTTACAGCTCCCTCGCATGCCCTGTAGAGGTGCCTGGACCGGTGTGATGTAACATTCTGGCCCCAGGTACCTCTACAGGGTGTGCAAGGGAGCTGTACAAGCAATGCACATATGGATGGAGCTCATCACAGTACAGCAGCCCACAATGGAACCCCAGGCCAAGGATCCACTCCAGTTCTCATAAGGTAGGGAGACTGGGTGGATCTTAAAAATTTTACTTTTTTTGGAGTGTGTATGCGAGATTGTGTTTGTGGTTGTGCGTTTTTAAGGGCCCATTCACACTAGTACAGTGTGCACAGTCCCATGTGATTAACACACTGTACTTCGCAATCGCACCCACCACACATTTCAGTGTGAGAAGTGCTGTGCATTGCAATTCATTTGAATGGCTCCCCAAATGCACCTCCCGCCCACAGTTCTATTGCCTGCATTGGAACGCGCAGTACCGCAATGTCATGCGTTCCATTGCAGTGCAACTTGGGTCACGACTTAACGACCAAGGACAAATGTGGGTCTTGAGGTTACACAGGTTGAGAACCACTGCTCTAATCTTTACAAGGGTTGCTGTCAGGGTTGACAACATGAAGCAGGACAGGGGGAAAGACTAAAATTCTAGCTTGTAGTCCCAGTATACAACGTTTACTTTCCCAGTATACAACGGACCCAAAAGTCTGAAATGTTCAGGGACCAGGTGTTTGAAAAGACCAACAGATGTCTCTCCACTCAAGTAGGGCTGTCCCTTCATAGCGAGAGGGACTTGCTACATGGTTTGAAGGATTTGGGGGTCCAGAATTTACGGTTGAGCAGAGTCCCGGGTTGTCTTAGATGGCTGGAAGAAATAAAAGCGACTTTGAAGAATCACTAGACAATTGCAAGAAGGTGTTGGAACTGGAGCCTGTAAAACACAGTCCAGTGCTAAACAAGCAAAGCAGTGTATCTGTATAAGAAGTAGGACAATGACTGGTAGCTTTGCTGCTGGGAGACTTGGTGTATGGTAAGATGGCAGGGGTTTGGGGTAGCTAGTAACTACAACCCTGAAAATGCACTGAAATTCAACAATGTCGCTTGACAGTTAGTGCAACTGGTAACAATGGCATCTAGGATGCCAACTCACTGGCCATATTAAATATACATTCTCCCCTGCGTAAAACAGGCTCCCCAGCTGTGGTATCTCAGTCTCTTGGCTGGATTCACGGTTTATATTGATTTATACAAAATATACCAAACGAAAAAGACTCTCTTGCTGGGCTTCATAATATCTGTAGTGGGGGTGAAACTGAGAATGTCAACTGTGATATATCAGTTTCTCTTATACATACACAAAACTCTGTAGATTTAACATTTGTGTGTTATAGCCTTTAGAGCAAATTTATGTCAACATTACTATGGCTAAATATGCAATCTCACAACCTTAAAGCCCTTGGTGCCTGCATGGTGTGCAGAACTGCACATATACTTAGAAGTGATGAATATTTTATGAAATCTTAGGTTTCAGTTTAATGGTTTTACCCTACTGCTGTTCTCTCCATTGAAAGACTAAAAATAACATGGCAGAGGTTTTTAGAATCCACTGCAATCATAATCAAACATTCTCACTGTATGTACATAGAAAATTAATAAGCAGCAGTATCCTTCACAAATAGCAGAATGATTGACTGAGCAGTGCATCTATTTGAGAACCTGAACTCTGGAAGCTGTGCCAAAAAAAGCAGGCGGAGGGCAAAGGACTAAATCACTGGTATTATCTGTTGCCTCCCTGTAGCTGATCTTTACCATAATGCTGACTTGCCATGCCTTGTTCTGCATGGTTTCGCTCAGTGAAAACGGCCATCATTCAAGACAAAAAGGTATATTTATCAGGCTACTGCTTAGGCACAATTAATATTCCTAAATGTTCCCCTAACTGCAAAGCTTCACTTTTTGAGTTCAAGGCCACTTTAAAAATGGTATGAGGCCTTAAAAGGGCAATTCCACAGCTAAATTTGAGAAAATGGAATTCCCCCAGCAATCTGCCACCTCTCCCCTACCCCGCTGGTCTTACCCTATAGAGAACGGTCATTCCCCTCCGCAGCTGCATGTGTTCAATTTGAACAAAGCATCACTGTCTTGCGCTCAGTATTTGAAATAATACGAGCAGGGAGATATCAAAAATTCAGATACTTACGGATTTCTGATGTTTCATTTGGAAATGTGGATGCATCTGAATGTCCGAATACGGCAGAAATGTGTCCAAAACAAAATTGACTTTTGGACCTGAACACCGACAAATCTAAAACAAATTTTCTGGCGGCTTACATGTCTAGAGACATATTGGTGGAGGTTAGATTGGCAGATTAGCTCAATGGCAAAGAATAAAGTGATTCTAACACTTGTCTGCTATATACATTTTCTATTTGAGGATCCAAAATGCCACTAATGCACCTGAAATACCTGGCACCTTACATGATTGTTTATTACTCTCATTCTGTCCCTTTTGACCAGTGATCCATTCAAAAAGAGGGCCAAAGAGAGCTTTAACTGTGCCATGTCCCTTTATTTTATAAGAACAGACCACACAGTCAAGCTTATTCAACAAAAAGTAAAACACCAGCTACAAAGTGCAGTCGCTCAACAATCAGAATTCATCTTATAGAAACAATGCTACACAAGATGGATTTTGGCTGGTTGCCAATGCAACTTGAATCAACACATAACAGCATTACTATCAAGGGTGCTGGTATACAAGACACTCAAACTTACAATTAAAAATGCCATCTTCGTTAGAATGGTAAACTGAGATTAATCCGCAAAGATCAATTTGTTTACCAAGTTTAAAATAGAAGAGCAATAGAGCAATACACATGTACTGCATTTTACAAGGTCAGCATGTTATATGAATATAAGGGTGGTTTCAAGATGTATTACCTCTTCTATGTATTCTTTTGCTAGAGGAGCTCCAGCAGTAACCTGCAATAATAAATAAGCAGTAAATCCTTTATGAAGGAGATAAGAGCATGTCAATTACAAAAAATGACTTTTGTGCCTTGGCAAATACATTTAACCAAATGTTCAGTTGATTTCAGCATCTAAAACATGCAATATCATACACAACTTACATTGGGCCCTCCTCCATGCATCTTCAAAGCTCTAATAGTAGCAACAAGAACAACCACATTGGGAATCAAGCCAGAAGCTCTGCACTTAATGTTGAAGAATTTTTCCATTCCAATGTCAGCACCAAATCCAGCTTCTGTCACTGAAAAAAAAAAAAAGGAGGGATAAACATTTAGTAATCCTTTAAACCACTATACTATGTCAAAGGCTGCTAACTGTACATTTAGCTTACAGCATACAATGTATCAAATGGGTGGCAGTCTTGAGTAAAAAAAGAAACTGCCTCTACCAGTGCTGGAAAACTTTGGTCCGTAGTGTTACTTCTGGTATTAGATCTAAAAGTACAAGTTTATCCCACTACCAGGCATACGCATGGGTCCGTTAATTAGTTAACTTTGAGAGCAGACTTCGCTTCAAATATCATCAGGTCACATTGCAAATATCTACAAACAAAATGTATAGTACAGTGGCACACTTAATTTACATTTTATTCAGTCAGGTAGATGCTAAACTTCGCTTAGCTTGCCAACTTGAACAGAATCTAACTAGGAGGAATTTAGAAAAAAACTGAACACAATAAATGGGAAAAAGGGAGCGTTTTATTTTTGGCAATGATAGTACCATACCCAACAAAGCTCCAGATTGTGGCCACAATGAGAGAACAAACCTAATGATCAGTTGTAAGCCTATAAAAATCAGACCAGAAAAAGATGAAGGGCTTAGAGCACCACTAATTTTTTAAAGGACATAATATACATACCTATTCGCATACAAAATCCTTTTTCCCCCTACAAACATTCAGTAAATAGCAAAGGATTGTCAGAGCACTTTGCGTTATCTAATGAATACAGCAAAAGCTCTCTCGCCTGTTTCTATATAACCAAATCCTTGCATGGGTCCTTATGATAACTAATCCAAACAAAAGCAGTTAAGAAAAGATTTTAGTCCCGATTATAAGAAAATGTGTATAAAATCACTACACATTTCCTCTAAAGTAGATAGCTGAGCCTGAAGTGTGATTCTGAAGAACCTCAAATACACAGGCAGTAATATCAGTGGAATATACCACAAGTTGTTTTTCTTTCAGATTGGGTTCGTGTTTAGTGAATATAAATTGCCCAATTTAAGTTATACACTCTTTTTATTGCAAAAGCACTGAATGGGAAAGACATGAAAAACACAATAATTGCATTTCAGATGCAACTGTATTAGACATTTTTCACTGGAACAGGTGCCCCCCATTGAAAGATTTTAAGTCGCCTACTGTTTGTGATAACTGGATAATTTAGGATTTCTAATAATGCATTTCCTTTGAAAGTGTTCCCAGGACAAAGAGTGAATCTCTCTAGTGGATACACAGCCTGCAATACAAACCTGACATCTTTTCCCTCTCTATCCAAAACTTTAAACAATGGTAGAAATACGAGAGCTGCTAGGGATGACTTTTTTTTTCTTTTATTAATGTGCAAGCACCAGGACTCTCATCCTTATCTCGATTGCATAATTTGGCAACTCACAAACTTGGAATAAGTATACACAATTTAGGAGTCCGACCACTCACTTGCTGCATGTTGGTTCTCAGTCAAGTAGTGAAACATGGATGATAACTCAAGAGCCCGCACCTTCAAAAACAAATCAATAGTGCCTGCTCCCATGCTATTCAAACAGGGTTCCACTTTTCACCCCCTCCTCCCAAATAACCCCAGGTTACTTTATCTGTGCTGTTAAGCAATGTGCAGTTTTTCAAAGCTGAACACCAAGTAGATAAAAAAATAATTCACATTTATTTATGATAAACCCCTTTAGTTTAGTTTTAAAAGCAACTAGTATCAGTACACACTTTTTTCTTGGCAATCACCTGTACAACAGAGCCCAGACATGGAGGGAGAGCCAGAACTGGGCACTCAAATCAATTGTTATGCATTGTTCATACCAACAAAGAAAATTGACAGGAGGAGAGAAAAGAGTGAGAGAGGAGTTCATCATCGAATGCTTCTCCTTGACTGTCCAGTGGGTAGGAACAAGACATAGCTGCATTACGTATCTGCTGTAGATAATATCTGGTATCCAGGCTTGCCATGTTATCCAGCAGGGCTGTGTAAATCCTAGGACAGATTTTACCTGGACAAATTACCTGGCAGGTATAACAGCTTTCATATATGTATTGTGTATTTAGCCCTTGTTTTCAGCTTTAATGTACACCTGTACTAACATTTGCAAAACACACCAGCAGATATGAAAAGCAGACTTCTACAAGTGGCCAAAAATACCCTAAGGCTGAGTTCACGCAGACAGCCTCCACAACTCTGAAAAATCTTCGTGTGGTGGATTGCATTTCAGAGGTTAGTGGAGCATCGGCAAGCTGGTGTTCTGGAGGCGGATACTGCTGCCTCCTAAATGTGTTTTTTTTTCCATCCAGATGGGGATTTTCTACTGCAGTATAACTGCGTACTCACGGATTCAGCACAGTCCCATTAATTGCAATAACCATGTTTAATAAGGGTCACTACCTGCCAAATGTGAGTAGCTGTATTGTATACAACAATGTTGGGCCACAGGTAAAAACCGCTGATCAACCACCTGGTTTTACTCGAACCCCATGAACGAGGCCGTACTTAGCTTCCAGAGTGTCTAGAAGCCCTAAAACCCATGACCCTTTATTCTGTACCTACGGAATTCAACTTGCAAAGTTGAACTCAACATGCAACCTGTCACCTCATGGGTGCCCATCACACTGACAGACCAAATGAGGTGTGTGCCAGTTACTTTTTCCACCATTGGGCATTCTGGGTTTTCAATGTTCAGAGTATGCAGCAAAAGCTATGAAAAAGGTGAATGCAGGCATATCTAGGTTCTCGTTTCTGAAGTGATTGAACCAAGAGACTCACCAGTTTGTCACACTTTGGTTTTTATGAATAGCAGCATGTAGATCTTTCCGATTTGCAGAGAGCAGAACAATTTAGTAGCTAGTTAAGATTTATGCAATCATGTGCAAAGAGCATTGGTGTTCTTCAGACTTTGATTCCTTATATTCTTTAACGCACAATCACAGTTCTCTCCGATTATGCAAACTGGATTAAAAAAAAAAAAAAAGTCTGTGAACTACCTTGTATGTATGGCAGGGAGGTAGCTGTGTGCAGCAGTCTGCATGACTAGCCACTGCAATGAGGCTAGAATAATTCAAAAAACTGTTTCCTGCTGACAGAAGGCTAATCCTGTGTCTAACCACTGCAACCAGTAATTTAGTTTGGTAAAGCATTGTTAAAGGAACTAGAGGGAGACCATAAAATGAAGAAACATGAAAAGGGCGACATGTATGTAATTAACAAAACAAAAAAAAATTGGAGGATACAGGTGCAAACAAAAAATAAATAAAAAAGGCGAATTATAAAGCATCAGTAATGTACTTTGTACTAGCAATAACACGCCACTAACACTTCCCATGGGACAGAAAATATATAGCACATTGGTTTTTTAAAAAGACAATGAAAAGATCCTAAAAGACAACAAACATACTTTGAACTATAAAATGTACCATCGTGTGTTATTTTAATACACGTTCAAGTACAGCGTTTCTCATTGATCTCCATAGACTAATCAGGGCTACCAGGAGTTCAAAAGAGCTTAGCTTTTGTTGCCTGCAACCTACTGGTCAATTCACTATTCATTTGGCTTGCTAGTATCAAACACAGAGAGCTCTGGAAGTATAGCAGGGAAATCTCTATAAAAGCAGTCCATGGGTAGCTTCCTCTTTTCGATCTCTAGGGACTTGTCAAATCATCTAATAACTTTTCAATTCAGTCTAAAAGAATGTTGAGTGCCACTAATGCACAGCTAAAATCCAAATTTTCTGCTTCAGTATATCAAGGTAGAGCAAAAAGTAAGCCATAAATGCTGGATTACTTTGAAATGTACCCACAAAAACATTTGTATTCTCACCAAATCCATAGACATTTGCAATGTATAATACTTCAAAACACAGGAAAAAGGCAGGAAGCCACAAAATCCTGATTAACTAAAGTATAGCAATTACAAAAATGAATTAGTGCGTCATTTTAGTATGTTGTGTTGCAGTACAATAATGCTTCTGTACCAATGCCTCAAACCAAATGGCTACAAATACAACTAAAATTTATGTAAGAGAGCAGCTTCACTTGCCAAAGTTTGTGTAATTCTGTTCAACAATTCAGCAGAGGTTTTATTGCATACATTTGCAAATACACTATATTACCAAAAGTATTGGGACGCCTGACTTTACACGCACATGAAGTTTAAATGGCATCTCAGTCCGTAGGTTTCAATATTGAGTTGGCCCACCCTTTGCAGCTATAACACCTTCAACTCTTCTTGGGAAGGCTGCCCACAAGGTTTAGGAGTGTGTCTATGGGAATGTTTGACCATTCTTCCAGAATTTGTGAGTTCAGGTACTGATGTTGGACGAGAAGGCTGGGCTCGCAGTTAAAGAGGAGAGACAGCAATGAAGATCACCATTGTAGAACAATGTCACGCATGTAAAATAGCCAAAATTGCCTATATATTACACATGTGACTTTGCTCTACAATAAATAGAACTTCTGGATTTATTCTCAACCTGCGAGTGCTGGTGAACTTCATTGATTTTACTTCTGGATATGCATGGCGCCATCCGTGGACATCACTACAAGCACCACTGCCATTTCAAGCACCGGTCCTAATTGCTGTCTGGTGTGCAAGAGACCCCTTTGTTTATTGATTTTAAAGAGGAAAGGGCTGCCTCCTGGCAATCTGCTCTCAATTTATGCACTTATTATATATGTATGCTAAATATGTCCCGCATTTAGCAAGCAGATAGTTTTGCAGTTGGGAAATTGTGTGAATGTAATCATTCTTTAAAGCATGGTAGAATTAGAAAGACTGACAATCACTTAAAGGAGAACTATGAGATGAGTGATTTCCACTCACCTCATAGTTCTAGCCGACCTGTGACAATGAGACTGTCACAGGTCGGCTCAGTAGATCGGGAGGTGAGCGAACACATACCAGGTTCATTGGTGCCGGTTTCTGATCCAGCGCAGACTACTTGGTGTCCCACAGTGTCTGTCTGACGTGCATTCACCTACACTGTATCTCTCCTCCTCTCCCAAAGATCTCAACTGCATGCGC